AAGAAAAGGGACTAGCCAAATATGAGAGATTTATAATTTCCTTCTAGGAATAGAAAAACTCAATATGATAAATATGTTGCCATTTCCTTCAAGAGTTAGGAAAACTAAATATGGTAAGAAAATGCGGACAAATACATAACAAACATATGTAGTGAATGATTGATTCTTGTTTTAATAATTGTTGTGATGGTGGAGTTTATGTTCACTGGAGTTAACTACGTCTATGAAGGCAGTGGTGCGCCAAAAGCTTCTAACTACGTCCAGCGTGCTTCTGTTAGTGTTTACACGGAATTGACTAAAAAATCAGTCATAATTTTGTACTGTTTCAGCAACTGCTATTGCTTAGTGTTCTGCTCCTATGTCTACCAGTGTTGCAGTTGCCAAATTTAGAAACAAGATTCTTTAAGGGGGATGGATTGTTACGGAATGGTGTAGTACTTTTAGTTGAATAGTTTTTTAGTTGTTAGAAAGTTTTTATGTTATCGTTTAGTCCCTCAGTATAGTTTTCAATTAAGTCCCTCTGTTAAGAAACTTGTTATTAATTATTAGTCTATAAAAGCCTATGTAAATCCTCACTGTAGAGGTACTATGTTGCATGAAAATTGATCTTTATCCTCTCTCGTCCTCTCTTTCTCTCCCTCTTAACTAAGCCTTTTTCTCAAATTAATTATAAAGAGGGAAGCCACATTTTTGAGGTTTGTAAAAACATGCACTTACTAATAAATGTCTTTAAGATTCTTCACTTGTGAAATTCTAAGATTTAGTGTAAACACTGGTGCCACGATGTAATCGAACAAATTCAAATGCTTGTTTATTCAATGAGATCGAATGAGAATATAATCAAGAAATATAGAAAAAAATTAACGGTGTTCAAGCGTGTTTCTTAAAACCCACGTCAGAACATAAAGGAAGTGAAACGAGAATGTCTTTGAAACCAAAAATAAATGCAAAAAAGAAAAAAGAAACTGGAGTAACATTTTAATCAAAGAAATTGGTGTAGAGATATTACCAGTCTGTTTTCAAGAAATATATGAGCATCTATTACTAAATATAAGGTTTACACTAAACTAAGTAATTTAATTCAACCTTTAGATTCATAAACTGAAGTGAGCTAAGGATTTATCTTTAGTTCCACCAATTATGAATTGTTATCTTTGATTAATTATATTTAAATAACTTGATGGTGAAAAATCTCTTTATAGTATTAATATATAAAAATAAGTTGGTTTTAAAACGCATATGATAAATTTATTGATCCAGTGCAAGCATGGGATGCGAATACAAATAGATATATGTGATGATTTTCTTTTCTGGCCTACCCTAACTGTCGAGCAAGAAAAGGAAAGGGGGGGGGGGGGGTGGGTAAATTGCTTTAATAAATCTAGTAGTCTGACAAGCTTAGCAAAGATTAATCGGTCGATATGATACAACGTAGATATTCATAGAATTCATTCAGCGTCAGCACAAAGAGGCATTAGCCATACTGCCCTAGCATTTAATTTGGAACTTTTTTTGGTAATTAGGATTATTATTAACACTACAAAACATAGATACGGGAATTTTCGAATGACATCATCTTTTTCCTAATTAGCTTATTTAAGATGTACGATATGAGGGATTTTTTGAGGCTAGGCTGATAGGATTTAGTCTTAAGATTGCTAGTGGTCGGTGCTGTGTTTACACTACTTTTCCGTTTTTATAGTGCCGGGCATTATTTACTGGTCACTATTTCTGCCTTTCATCTATTCACTGGTTCTTATGTTGTTGTCATTATTTCCGTGATGACACTTGTATATTTTCTCTTTTTGTCTTTTCATCTTTTTGAGTCGAGTGTCTATCGGAAACATCCTTTCTACCCCATCGGAGGTAGAGGTAAGGTTTGCGTACACACTATTCTCCCCAAACCCCACTTGTAGGACTATACTGGATCGTTGTTGTTGTTGTTGATACGCGGGATTGAATTGCATGCTAACCTATCGCAGAATGGATTTTGGTTGTCACGAGGGTCTTGACCCGTTACTGGATGGTAATCAAATTAGATTAGTGGACCGCCCCAATAAGAAAGAAATAGTTCTTCTAATCCGTTGATTAATTGTAGCAAATAGTTGTATCAAACTACGCAACTCCTCGTTGAGGGAGTTTTCTCCATACCACTAGCTCTAGAGTTCAAGGCTGGTATGTTGTAACTTGCAACAAAGAAAAATGTACGCAATGTAGCTAAATAGCCTGTGGTTAATAATATTTCGCTAATTTTTATTATTTAGCTACAAAATTTATCCGTTAATAATTTCTGCTATAATTTAATTATGACAAATTAATATAATTTGATGTAAATACCAAATACAGATAAACTTTTACCTATCTAAAATAGCGAGTTTCCCTAATGTTCGTGCAATATTAGCTGTACTTGTTGAGATTCGGTATTCATTGATGTCATTTCTTTTTTTAGTGTTGTCTCGGTTCATTACCTCTATGAAACACACAATAATGATGAATCAAAAGAGTGGGCAAAATCTTTGACAAATTTTTTGAACTACCTTTAATTTCATTATACTGGTGCCTCGCCCATAATGGCAAGTGAAAAACATTTTCAAACTCCATATGAATATGATGCATTTATTTACCTACCGGCCACAGTACCAAACTCAGTACTACAGTTCAATGGGTAATGAATGCTAGGATGTATCTCGGTAACGTTTTGCAGATTTGATTTGATTTGAACGAATCTTGTACGGTTAAAACTACATATAATAGTTATCCTTTACAATAAACCTCTTGGCATGTTTTCTCGGTTGAGCTTGTCGCATGGGCTTGTCTAGTGTAGTTTACCTTTCCAGTGTAATTTGCGAGCTATTGCACTGGAGCGTGGTTTACCCTGAGCGCACCTGAAGGATAGCAGTTGCGAATTCCTTAGTTTACAAACAACAACAACAACAACAACAACAACAACAACAACAACAACAATAATAATAATAATAATAATAATAATAATAATAATAATAATAATAATATTTCATTATAACGATCAATTTTGTTTTAGAATCGAATTTTTTATATTCTATATACCAACATTTTGCTATAGCAACCAAAAGGGGGTGGGATTCCTCATGCTCTACATGAGAGTGCTCAGGCACATAATCTAAACCAGCACAGGATGGACCATTCCATTACTGATACCTCCCATCACCCTCCAGACACTCATTCAGGGGAGGAAACCAATTTGGATATCAGTAGTTCTTAGGAAGATCAGTCAGCTATCATTAAACAACTGGCTAAAGGCAAGGCAAAGGCTGCTTCTGACTTTTCCATTCAGATACCAAAACCAAAAAATAATCCAAGCCAGAAGAAAAGAAGAGCAATGAGAAGGAAAAATGCAAAAATGACATCAGCAGAGCAAAATCAAATACAGGACTCTGATGCCCATAAAATAGAAGATTTCTGGAGAGGAGATTCTCAACATTGATTGTGATACAAGATATCCTGAAGATGATGAATACAGACCCATCCAATCTGAGGATGAACCTGTGGAACCTAGGGATTGGTCGGAAGAAGAAAATGATCACAATGATCAGCTTTGTGAACTTCTCATTGAAGCTGTAAACGGATTATCTCATAAACAGGAACTCATCATGACACAAAACCTACCACCCAGGATGGGACCATCACCAAGAGTTACCAGAAGTAAAACGGCTGTAGCCACCAATATACCACCAAAATCCACAACCCCATCAAAACCTCAATGATTAGTACACTTATATGGAATGCAAGAGGTATTAGGACCTCAGGAGTTATTGAAAGACACAGAATCCTAAAGAAACTTCACCAACTAGCCCTTCCTGGGTAACACACACATCAACTACTTTAGACTTCTGCTCTCTATGCACCAAGAAACTTCCAATGTCAATGACAAAATTTGGGTATTTTGGGATAAAGAATTCACTACTAAGGTTCTAAATTCTCATGAATAACAGATATCTATGGAGATGAAACATGTGGAGGATAGAAATACTTTTAACCTCACATTCATCTATGACGAATGCAAACCAGTAATAAGGAGACCCTTATGGGATGTCCTGAGACATAAATCTTCCATATACACCATCCCTTGGTGTGTTATAGGGGATTTCAATGTTATAGCATCTGAAGAGGAGAAAATTGGGGGTATTCCTTATCAGATGAGTAAAAGCTTGGATTTTTTTAGCATGATTGAAGATAATGGTCTGGTGGATCTTGGCTACTATGGTCACAAATACACCTGGTCAAATGGCAAGGGACCAAATTCTATTGTTTGGAAGAGACTAGATAGGGGTCTAGTGAATGACCAATGGTTGACTGCATTCCCTACCACTACTGTTTCTCATCTAGCTTCAGCAGGTTCTGATCATAACCCTCTCCTGGTGGAGATCAATGTAAGGCAAGAAATGGGCAAGAGATACTTCAAATTCCTCAACTGCTGAGTGGAAAAAGAGAAATTTTTGCCATTAGCGGAGGAGGTATGGAACAGAGAACTTACAGGCAATCCTATGTGGGTCTTCCATCAGAAACTCAAAGTACTTAGCAATGTTTTGAGTATATGTTCTAGACGGGAATATGGAGACATTTTTCAGAAAGCCAAACTCTTTGAACAGCAAGTCAAAGATGCACAAGAGACATAAGCACAGAGTAATTCTGAGAATGACAGAATTACACTTCAGGAACTCAAAGCTCAACCTCTCAAGTACATGAAGCTTGAAGAGTCAATCCTCAAGCAAAAAACTCAGTTACAGGGTTTAAAGATTGGGATGCAAATTCCAGATACTTTCACAACCTAATGAGAGGTAGAAGAAGAAAATTGTACATTCACAAGATCAAGGATGAAGAAGAAAATTGGGTACAAGGTGATGAGGCTATATGCCAAGCAGCCCATGACTATTTTCAAGAACTCTTTTCTGATCTAGGAGGTACTATCAGAGAAGATATACTCTCATGCATCCCAACCATGATCACCCTTGAAGACAACAATGCCCTTTTCTACAGATCCCACAATGAATGAACTAAAAGAAGTAATCTTCTCCATGAATCCTACAAGTGCTGCAGGCCCTGCTGGTATGAATGGTAAGTTTTACCAAGCTTGTTGGGAGATCATCAAGTTTGATTTGATGAAGGTTGTATTGGCTTTCTTTAGTGGAAGCACCATGCCCAGATACATGACAAGTGCTTGTCTTGTCCTACTTCCAAAAGTGGAACTTCCCAACTCCCTTACACAATTTAGACCAATCAGCCGCATCAATTTCATCAACAAGATCATTTCCAAGATCATTAGTACAAGATTGGCTCCAATTCTTCCCAAGATCATCTCAGCCTATCAGACAGGCTTTGTTAAAGGGAGAACATTTCTAAAAATTTCATGCTTGCACAGGAAATTATCCATGGCATCAAAAAGCCTAACATAGGCACCAATGTTGTTATTAAATTAGACATGGTCAAAGCCTATGATAGAGTATCATGGAGCTTCACATGTACCATGCTGAGAAGAATGGGATTTCGTAAAAAAGTATCATTGACATGATCTGGAGAACTTTGTCCAACAATTGGTATTCAGTCATGATTAATGGTACCAGGTGTGGATTCTTTCAATTTACTAGGGGCCTAAAACAAGGAGACCCACTAGCTCCTTCCCTGTTCATTATTGGAGCTGAATTACTTTCCAAGATGCTCAATAACCTCAACCATGATTAATTTTTTAGTGAATTCTATATGAAAAGGAGAGGACCACAGATTAATCACCTCAGTTTTGCAGATGACATTATAATATTTACTTCAGGAGGCAGAGTATCACTTTAAAAAATCATGAAGATCTTGAGCAGCTATGAAGAATGTTCAGGACAAAAAATCAACAAGGATAAGAGTCAATTCATGACTTCACCTGGAGCTTTTCAGTCTGCCATCAGAAGGATTAGAGCAGAAACAGGATTCTCAAAGAGGGAATCTCCTCTAACTTACCTGGGATGTCTTTTGTATATAGGTAGGAAGTGGATCATCCACTACAATAATCTCACAGCTAAGATTGTAGGTAGAATCAAAGGCTGGCATGGAAAAATGCTATCCAATGGTGGCAGGGCTACTTTGATAAAACATGTACTGCAATCAATACCAATCCACCTCTTGTCTGCAGTGTCTCCTCCAAAAACTATTTTGAAGAAGATTGAGAAATTGGCAGCAAACTTCTTCTGGGGTCTGGAAAAAGAAAATTAAAGTATCACAGGGCTTCTTGGCAGAAACTGGCCTATTCACTGAAGGAGGGTGCTCTGGGATTCAGAACGATTGAGGATGTCTGCAAATCAATGGAGCTCAAACAATGGTGGCACCTCAAGACCTCTCAGTTTCTATGGAGCAATTTCATTAGAGCCAAATACTATCAAAGGTCCAATCCCATATCCAAAAAATGGGACTCTAGCCCGTCACAAGCATGGAAGAGGATGATGATTAACAAAAAGGAGGATGAGCAAGCAATACATTGGAGACTTCACTCAGGAAACAGACTGTTCTGGTGGGATAATTGGCTAGGAACAGGACCTTTAGTTGACCCATAAAATTGGTGGAGGCAGGCCTGGTAACACTCCTGTTTCCTATTTCTGGAGGGAGGGTCAATGGGATCTTTAGAAACTAAATGAAAGTGCCCCATATCACAAGATCCAAGATATCATTTAAACCCCTATTGATTACCAACCTCATACCCTAGATGAAGCCATTTGGACACCAAATGTTAATGGTAAATTCACTTGTGCCTCTGCTTGGGAACTTATCAGAAAGAGGAAGCAACCTAACTTCTCCAACAGATGACCTGACACAAAAAAAAATACCTTTTAAGTGGTCCTTCTGCCTGTGGAGAGCTCTTAGAAACAAATTGCCAACTGATGACAGGGTGCTTTTATATAGCAACCCCACTGTATCCAGATGTGTCTGCTGCCCCACACATGCCAATGAAACTATGGATCACATTTTCAGCAGAGGTTCTTTTGTCAGCTATGTTTGGAGGAAATATGGTGGCATAGCAGGAAGACGAACTGACAACAAGCTTCTCAAGGTTCTCTTGATGACCTGGTGGATGCAAAAAAATCATAATGAAGTCCAAAAGTTAATCCTTGACACCATGCCTATTATTTTCTGCTAGAACCTTTGGAAGAACAGATATATGGCCAGAGTCTTGTTTTCTATCAACTCAGATGTCTCAATGCTGCTGAGGACATGCTTCCCTTATATCTTCTGGACCTTCAATTGGAATGAACTATATCCAATAGTGGAACAAATTAAACACCACACCTCTGTCACTCAAGTAACCTGGCAAAGTCCTGAAGTACAATTTGTGAAGGTCAATAGCAATGGGAGTACTCTAAGTAATTCAGGAAGAATAGGGGCAGGGGTTATCATCAGAGATCATACCAGTGAGTTCGTCCATGCCATTGCTACCCCCTTTGGAGAAGGTACTAACAATCTCGCTGAAGTAGAAGCAGCCATTATAGGAGTTCAATGGTGTTCGGACAATGGATTTTCACCTTGAGGCAGATTCAGCTCTCCTTATCCAGTAGCCGAACAAAAATGAATCCCCCTGAACTCTAAGGATGAAAGTGTAGAAACTTAAGTAACTCAGCTCATAGTGTGAGGAATTCAGATCCTCACATGTGTATAGAGAAGTTAATTGCCCAGCTGATTCATTATCCAAGTTAAGTTATGGGCTGGCAGCAATGACCCATTTCCACTTCTCATTAGCTCTACCTAACCACATCAGAGGACAAATTTTACAAGACTTCATCAGCACTCCAGCTTTTAGACACAGGAAAACAAGTAGAGAGCCCGTTTGGATGGGCTTAATTTAAGTGGCTTTTAAGCCAAAATAGCTTTTAAGCCATAAGTTAGGAATTCTAGCTTTTGGCTTGTTTTTGTCATTTTAGCTTAAAAATAAGTGCTTAAAAGCACTTTTTTACTCTATCCAAACACTACAAAATGGCTTAAAAGTTATTTTGGCTTAAAAGCACTTAAAATAAGCCAATCCAAACGGGCACAGAATCACTGCACCATCACTATCTTCTCATGGGTATAGGTAAAATCATAGCAGCAAGGGGAGCAGACCTATTTGTCGAATTATCCACACCCATGGCCCCATATGACCACAAGCATAACAAGCACCTTGATTCCTTCTGGAGGAGAACACTGGTGCAGTTTGGTATACTAACCTTGGTTTTTGCTTTGCAGGTAATACCAGGCCCTTGCAAAGTCCTCTGATGGTCCTTCAGAGTGTGGTATCAGCAACTGTGTTTCTCAATCTACTGAAGGATCATCAGAGCACTGAAGCAGGCCTCTATAGCCATGAAATGAAAAACCTAATCATACCACCAACCCAGATGTCCTCCCAATCTCCAACACATTTCACCAGTTACATATGCCTCCAATCTACTGCACCAATGATCAACCAATCCAAATGAATGCCCACATTCCTCATCTACAAATGGAAGCCATTCATCCAGTTGGACACCAACAAGACACAACCATCCACCCAACCTCAAATCACCAGTTCATTTCAATTACTCTGCAGCCTCAGTAGCAACCAACCTTACCCCCACAAACCACACTCAATTAGCAAGCACACAGATCCCTTAACCCACAAGAACCTGAGATCAGGAACACATACAATTCTCAGAAGCCACAAGAACCTGAGAATGTCCTCATGCTCAACTCTCAACCCTAAAAAAGAACTGATATGAGATAATCACTGCTACAAAACAAGAAGCAAAATAGCTATTTTTTACACTAACTTTGGTTTCTTTTTTGCAGGAACTTATGTATTTACCTTGCTTAACCAATTGACATACCCTCAGCGTGCGGTATCGGTACAATATGTACTCATCTACCGAGGGCATCTCAATGGCTTAAAGCAGGTCCTAATTTGACTACCTTAAAAAGACTACCTCACACTATACAACTCACAACTCCCCCGGTTAACTGTTGCCTCTTCATGCTCCTTCTCAATACAAGGAGAAAACAATAGGGCAACACTTGGAGCTGCATTTCCTCAATTCAGAATGTACAACAGGAATCCCAACATGCAGAACAATGCAATTCACTACTGCAGAACCAGTACATGCTGTAGGACACCAACATTCAACCCATCATTAAATGGAACCTCAACATAGTTCCAGCAGTTTCAGCTTCAGGTATCCAACAGGACACACCTAGCTGCCCTGCACTGCCTTGTCATCAGCCCTCAGATGCAGAAACTTACATACTACAGCAGCCTCTTCACAAAGGGTAATGTGTGTGAGAAGATCTGCCTCAGCTCCCAAAACCTACCATCTCAACCAGTCTCATGGATCAAAGTAACCAACAACTGCTCAATCTTTTCTGTCATACAGAAGCAGCAACCTCAATCATATACAGGGACTCTTTTGACAATTATCTTCAACTTGGCTTTCTCTGGCCTCATTGTCAAAGCAAAGTTGAAGATAGTTAGTTCCTCATGCCACCATCAGCATATTGTCATTCTCCTTAGGGAGATTCTACTGTAGATGTAGGTCTTATTGTATATGGACCATGCACTTTCAACTCAACCACATAGTAGATTTAGGTTCATTTGTGAATTTTTGTATAATTGACCTAGGCTCACTTCATCATATTTTTGTATACCCAATTGTCTATCAGTTAAGGATAGACAATTGGCACATCATTATAAGTCTAACTTCACATAGTTTTCAGGATCCATTTGATTGTCAAGTTAGAATGACCAAATGTGTATCCACCATATTTTCGGAGGTTAAGTTTATGCCCCCCTCCTTGTTGTACTCTATTTTACCTCTATGAATATTAACCCCAGGCACAATGCCTAGTGGATTTAACTTTATAAAAAAAAAAGTTAATTTATGTGTACTAGTAAAGTACCGGTCTTTATTATAAGCCATCACTTTTTGGTGCTTTCTTAGCAAAATGACATCATTCTACTAAGATGGATGTGTAATTGTGAAGCCAACCAATGAGATGGACTAATGATACTTTTTATCGAAGATTTAACCTGAATAGTTATATACTAAGTCGTTTAAATTAAAAATAATTGTTGAATTAATGTATATAAGTAAATAATTAATGTATATTTTATTTGTACATCAACTTAAAAAATAAACAGTAAATTCAACCAAACTATTTGGATAAAAATCTTTTTTATTGGACCCAACAGGAGTCATGAGTCAATTTGAGGTGAATCGCAACTTTACTACTCCTATAAGAATATTTCACAATGCAACCCTTTTTCTTTCTCTTACCTCACTGAACGTAGGTTGCATTAAAAAAGTAAACTAGCCAACTCAAAAATTACATTACTAAAATCATGCACCATAAATGTGAGGCGAATTTAAGATTTTAATTTGATAAATTTAATTTTTAAAATTTTAACACTAAAATCTAC